TATATCCAGAGAAGCCCCTGGAGGCTTCTTTAACAAATTAATAAAGATATGAGCAAAACCTCACCTTAAAAAAAAAATAAAAAATAAAAAAATAAAAAATAAAAAATAACATACTGGTAAGTCTTTTAATAAGGTAGGCATGTCTAATTTGATACAGTTATTTAGTTTATAGTAGCTTTTTATAAATTGGCTATAAAAGTATTCAAGTTTTTAACTAAACATATTAGATTTACTCTAAAATAAAAGTTTTTTTACTAAAAAAAATTTTTTTTAGAAAAAATGTGAAATAATATTCTAAATATCTATTTGCACAAGGGATGGGATTCTATAGCCTAGTAGTCTAGGCACCCCTCCCTCTACAAACAAGATTAACGGTTCAATTCTAGCTAGAGGCAAAACTCTGTAATCTACGAAAGCATATGAATGTACGCGAAGCCCTGTGGCTTAAGTTCATGTGAATAGAAGATCAGTATATAAGGAAGTTCTTGGAAAGAAGTTTCCCAATATGGAAAGTTGGCACTCAATGCAAGAGAAGTGGTAAACATACCAGAAATAAAGAGAAGGCATACTAGTGGGTAATACAGTAAACATAAAAGAAAACTATAAAAAAGAAATGAACTTACTGAAATTTGAACACTTCTGGCATTAAAAACTGATTTAGTAGATATGGGTTACACTAAGTCAGATCTAAGTAGTAATCTTGGTACCAGCTTAATAAGCTTGCATCGAGAGTAAATTTGAAGAAATATGGATACTTAGTAACATCCAATAAGGTAGTACTTTGATATAAATAGAAACTAAGATAGCCTTAATCTAAATATCACTACAATGATAATGTAAATATTGCAGATATATACATAATAATATTGAAAATCAGAAAGTTTAAATAGGGGACTCACAGGCAGGTCTCAGGTATGGCATCTAGTAGGTAAACTGTAGGCAGAACCCTTAATTAGATAATGACTAAAGTTATATGTGTGACTAGTTGTACTTTTGTTGATATACTATATATATTATATGTAATTATATATTACTTAATAAACGACATGTGGACAAGATTGCTGCTTTAAATTAAAAAAATATATATATTTGCACAAAGTTTAAGATAATTAGCAGACTATCACTAAATTGATGCACTATCACAAAATAAGGTAAATTTGAATTTTTTTTCTCAAGCCATTTTTCATTTCTAATATACTGTTTTTCTGTTTCTAACTATTCTTTATCTTTCTTTTTTTGTCTTCATGCTTCTTGTTTGCACATTTTTTTGACCTTATATGCAATTCATTTTTGGGTAGCTGCTTTTTTTTGTACTACTTCATGTCAGCTATCTTTTGGCCTTCTCTTCTGCCTCCTTCAACTCTTGCAAAGATTTTTTATTGGTAAGTAGTTGAGAAAAAGGCATAGGTTTTTTTTTTATTTTATTTTGACAGTTAAAAACCAGATTTATCTTTTTCAGTATTTAGATCTTCAGCTAGTTGTGTATTATAATGCAAAGGATACTTAAGAACAAGTTGCAAAAGGATTGTACTAGGATTTTTGAAGATTTCTAATTCTTTTTTCAGATCTTCAACTCTTTTATTTAATAATTCAATTACTAATATTAATTCTTTTTTTGTAGAGTTTTTTTTTGTAAGATATGCTTGATCTGAAATCAGCCTTAAAGATGAAAAAAAAATGAGAAACCTGAGAATAAGGAAAAGAAAGAAAATGAAGATGCTAAAGAAGAAAACAAAGCTGAAAAAGATAATAAAGATGAAAATGTTGAGGGTAATGATAGTAAGTACAATGAAGATAATGGCTCAAGGGCTTGTGAAAAATTAGTTCATTTTATTGTTAGTAAGGGCTCTAAACAGTCTGAACCAATAGTACTAGGATTGAACAGCCAAATCCCTGTAGTCCAGAAGGCATTGCATATTGCAGTAGGTGTGTATATTGTAATATATAATAATTCTAAAACTTTAGCAAATATATATTTTGTTACAAGTTTGCTATTATTATTGATTCAAAACTTATTATACTCTTTATTATAGGTTTTTTTTAAAGTAACAAATAGTAATTTAGCTGGTTGTAAAATGTAAGTAGTATATAAAGGAAGTGCATAAAGAAGAATATTATTTTCATAACAATAATAGATACAAATATAATTAACATAGCTTTTATAACCATCTAAAATTAACAAAACAGAGTGTGCTAGTGGAATAAATTTAATAAAATGTTCAATGTAGTTTTAAAACAGACTTTTCTGCATGTATCCAAAATTGGTGAATTCCATAACAGAGTTAGCAGAAGCACCATTTGGAAGGCCTAGGATCATTTGTTTTTCTTTAAAAATAAATAAGGATGGAATATATGTCCCAGTAGCTAAAATAGTTGAATATAGTAAAATATGTTTATGAGAGCTGTCATATGAAATGCGATGAACTTAACATGCTCTCTTCTTCACTACAATCTTTTAAAGTCTAGGCTTAATGATGAAACATATTTTATCCTAAAAAAAATAAAAAATAAAAATAAATAAATAAAAAAAAAAAAGATAAAAAAGCAAAAAAAAAATAAACCATATTTCAAATCTGATTGGCAGTAAGTAAATATTCTTAAAAGATACTTTGAAGTTTGTCAAAATAGTCTTTGATAATAACAGGATTTGCTTTTTGGGCACATGCTTTATTCAGAACTTGTAGAATGCAGAATGAAAGTTTTGTATAGTTATTCATAAATTTTTTTACTACTTTTGCTCTGAACCAGTTTCATTAAAAGGGCATAGTTGCCAGTTTTGACAAACAATATCCATAACACACTAGTTTATACTAAACTTAGTCAATCCAAAACTGAGCTTCTGCATGTTTAGGCAATATCCAACAAGCTGTTCCTCCTTATAATTAATTAGAATTTTAGCAAGGCCTGGGCAAGTAAGAAGACCATTGTTATCAATAGCATGTCTAAGGATGGCTTTCAAAAGACTATAATCATACATAATACTTCTGATGCTTGAAACTTTAAAGTTATTTTAAGCATTTTTAATTTCCTTAAAGGCATTATTAATTAAATTGTATTAAGTAGTATGATCACTATATTTTGTTATAGTTTTATAGTTTTTAAATTTAATAAACTAAGATATTACACTTGTATTACAATACAGATTTAAATATTTATTATTATTAGATAAAGCTTTTTTTACTCATGAAATTTATATTTAAGCAAGTTGCATTTTGAGATTATTTATGCAGTATTATACAAGTTCTTCTATAAATGTTTGTAATTGAAAATTCAGTTTTCTTAATTGTGCATTTTTTTTTGGTGTGTCTTATGCTATTATGTGAATTGTTTTTATGCATATTATGATTTATGCATATATATAGATTAAAGTAGAATAACAATGAAATTTGATTATTATAAATATTGTAATTGTGGGCTTTCACTTTTACCTAAATTAAAATTGTTGTGACTGTTTCAATGCATTTAAGTATACTTGTGTTAAATTAAGAACCTTAAACTTATGTTAATAAAAATTTATTAAAAACTTATCACAATTTAAAGATATACAGGGCTTATAGTAGAAATAATTTAAATAATGCATGACAGCCATTTTACTTAATACAAAAATCTAATTTTAACACATTATTGTTACTTCTTGCTAGATTTCTTTAGCAAGAAAAGTACTGTAGATTAATTAAATAACAGTATCTTATGAAACAGTGATCTGAATCATATAATTTTGATACTATTTGACTCATCTTATTGAGACAAGTCAAATGATACCAAAACATATGATTTAGATTACTGTTTTGCAAACTATTATTGATATTTCAAATTAGGCATGCTTATCTTATATATTAAATATTTATTTATTTAATTATTTTTATTTAAATACTTATTTTATTTTATAGGTTTATTAATATTTATATCTACTTAATCAAAAAATTAGAATTACAAGAAATTCACTCAAATATAATTAGTAGTTGTTTAATGTTAAATGCTATCTCTTGTAGTTTTAATTTAGATAAAATTGAAATATGCCCTAAGAAATATAAAGCAAAGCTCAAAAATCAAACAGAAACTGTTACAATTGAGCCAATTAATGTTAAATATATTAGAAAATTAATAAAAACAATTAAATTTCCAAAATTTGAACTAGAAAATTTAAATAAAACTATAAATAGACCAGTTAGTTTATTAAGTTTCTTAATAGATTATCAAATTTTTAAAGACAATATTAAAGAAAGTAAGTTGAAAGTTGCTAAATTATATTTAAATTTTTAATTATTAAAAAAAGGTCTTCTAGTAATGACATCTTTTTTTGATTCAAATTTAGGTATACATAAGTCTGAATATTATAAAGAGCTTATTGAACATTTAAAAATTGTAATAATACAAGCTTCTATTACAATTTCAATAGAGTTTTGTTATTCTTTAATTAAGGGAGCATTGGATTTAGATTCTTATTTAGATTCTTATTTTAAACAAACTAATACTATGGAACCTGTATTAGTTTAAGAGCAAATTATATTATTAAAAAAAGCATCAAGTGCTTTTAATGAGTAATTTTTAAATAAAAAAATAAAAACATTTGAAGAACAATTAAAATTATCTAATAACTTAATGAGTAAATATTGCACTTCTATTAATAATTTAGATATAATAACATATTCTTTAGAAGTATCCAAAAGAATATTCTTATAAAAACTTTATGAATTTTAGCAGTCTTATGTTTATTTGAAGAAATAATTGAAATATTAACCAACTGACAAAAAGAAACAAAAGCAGCATCACAAGTTCATGTATTACTTTTGAAGAAAATTACAATCTATCAACTATTAAATATTGATCAGACCAAATCCAATTCTTTTAAAATTCTAATAACTAACAAAAAAATTAAAAAATAAAAAAAACAATAGATTTAGATAAAATAAATATAGAAATTTTAGACTTTTCTGAAAAAATTTTAGCCAGAAAATTGCAAACATATAGTGTAGTTAAACTACACTTAGTTTAGCTATTAGAAGTATTAAATAATAATTAGATAACATTAGATTTGGTTAATGATATAATGATTACCTAGTTGAAAAATTTTAAAAAAGATAATTGAATAGCATTTATTAAGTATATTAAAGGTTAAATTGTAATTACTTTTAATTTTTTTTATCTTATATAAATTATAATTGCTTTTGGTTTATAGCATAACCTAAATTTAGTTTTTGTTATACTAATAGTTTTTTTTTACATATTATATATTATGTATATTAGTTTTTAGTATTATGATTGTAATACTGATATTGCATAATTACAACTTAATAATCTATAAAAAGCAATCTAATAGACAAATATATAATTTTAACATTAATCTTTAGTTATCTTCAATAAAATGTTTTCTATTAATTATAAAAACAAAAAATATTTATATAAATACAATTATTGTTTAAATAAAAAAAAAGAAGGCTGTTGGTTACTTAAAAAAACATGTGATTCCTATTTATGATGACAATAATATTTTCAATAAATTAATTCAAAAATAAATGAATATATTAATCCATTATTAGATAGTAATAGTAATTATAAAAATAATAAGTAAGAAACTACAGTAAATTAAATAATTATTTATTATTAAATTATTTAATATACTAATCTAATTTTTTTTTTAGTGATTTAAATTTTTTTAAAAATAATTCAAATATTATAAATGAACTTGAATTACTTCATATTGAATCTAAATTAATTTTTAATGAATCTGAATTAACTCTTAATAAATCTAAATTAATTCTTAATGAATCTGAGTTAATTCAAACTGATTTGAAGTCAAATTCAAAATTAGAAAAAATACTTAAAAATAATAATAATTTTATTGAATATTTTTCAAACTACTCAGGTAATATTAAAATATTAATATTTGTTATTATTATTTTTTATATTTATTATTTAAATTATGTAGAACCTAAATTTGAAAAATTAAATGATATAATAAAGAAGGTTCTTTGATTGCTTGAACTTAAAGCAAAAAAAGAAACCTTAACAAATCAGATATATTAAGAGATATTAAAAATTTTTAATTATGAAGATATAACATTATATTCAGCAAAAATTTTTAAAAAACATGATTAATTTAGGAACAACATTTGTTAATATGTGTATAGATTCATGTTGTGCATTTATTAGACAATATAAGAAATTATTATATTGTTCTGTATATAATAAATTCTGCTATTTTAAACAAAAGATTAGAAAAAAAGCTACTTATTTTTCTTTTGAAGATCAGTTTAGAATCCAATTTCAAGATCAAGAATGTAATAAAAAACTCTTATATAGATCTTTATATCAATCTAATGAAGGATTTTATAATGATATTTTGATAGTATTTTATATAAAACCTTTTGTTAAGAGTAATTTTTTTCTAATCTATATGATATTTGTCTTATTGGATCAACTAATAGATATCAAATATTTTGACAAAAAAGAAATAACTGTTGGGTATTTTTATATATAAATGCCAATTTACCTCTTAATAAACAAGTTAAAAAGGAAAATTTACTTATTGCTGGAATAATTTCTGAACCACATAGTTCAAAAAAAATAGATACATTTTCTTAACCTTTAGTTGATAAACTTAAAAGATTAGAATATAAATATCTATTATTTATTAGTTGATTTCCTCCTTTTCTGTAGCACCAAGCCCAAATAATAATATTAAGTTATATTAATAAATAGAGTTAAAATAGTAGATTATAATAATATGAAGTTTATATTATGAACATATACAAGTATCTGAACTAATAATATTCTAGCAATTACAAAAGTTTTAAATTTAACAGATTATAATTCATATATAGCTTGTTGATTTTGTAAAATTTGAGATATATATAATAATTATATTTATTATCTATTAAATTCTTCTTTGCAATCTTCATCCTATGATCTTATTAATCTTCCAATATGTTCTTATGAAGAATATAATAATGATATTACAAAAATTAATCAAATATATTTAGAATCTGATAAAAATAAACAAATAAACTTATGAGATTGATTTTTATAATATTATAAAATAATATTTTGTATAATGTTAATTTATTATTAATTATTTAATTATTTATTAATTAGAAATTAAAGGCACTTGTATATTATTTAAACTTAATAGTATACACTTCCTTAAATCATTTCCAACAGATATTATGTACTTGTTTTTTAAAAAAGTAATATTTGCAATGTATTGTTACTGTTTTGAACAATTTTTTTCATTATTAAAAACAAAATTAAATAAAAATAATATATATTTTTTAAAATCCAATATTTGAAAAAAGATTAAAAAAGATATGATTAATAATTTTCATAATATGCCATCAGAATTTGGCTATTCATTAAATAATATTAAATATTATAAAAGTTTTAAAGCTAAAGAATAGAT